GGCGGGTGAACCGGCCCGGAACCGGCCCGGTCTGGCCCGGAACCGGCCCGGAACCGGTCACCTGCCGGTTCGGGCCCGGGCCCTCCTTTTGGTGAACCGAGGCCCGGCCGGTTCAAGGCCCGAACCGGGCCCGGCCCGAACCGGGCCCGGCCCGAACCGAGTCCAGCACTATATAGAAGTCTGTCCCCAGATTTGTGTTTGTGCTTTTTTCTTTTAATTAGCTAGGCAAATGTAGGGGCGGACTCGTGCTGGGTGGCCCGACCCGGAACCGGCCTGGCCCGGTTACTGTTTGGCCTGGCCCGGCCCGGCCCGGTTTGGCCCGAAACCGGGCCCAAACCGGCCCGAGTCCACCCCTGGGCAAATGTTTTGAACGTTTGCTTTAAGAAGTTTATTATGTGTTGGTAGTTATATTCCATTATTTCTATTAGGTTCGAGTTTATGTGTTGTAGACTAGTTATAAATTTATAATACGATTATTTTACCCTATGGCGTAAACTTGTTTTAGATTGTGTGATGTTAGTTTTCCTAATTTGAGTGGAGAACGTATGAAAAAACGTTAATACCATACATCTCCCACTATTTCGGGATCCATTCAAATTGGAGTTTGTCTAAATTTAATTCATTAATTTCTTCTCCTTGCACCAAGCCTCTAAAACATTTTAATTTTCAACAAAATGCGATAAAGCTTCTTGACCACCGTGTAAGTGTTTTTTCCCACGGCATTCAAGAGGAGAGGGTCAACCTTACCGCCCTGGCCTTCTCCGTTGAGGCTCAAGAAAACCGATTGTTAGGAAGCTTTAAAGATGGAGGAGAATAAAAAGGGCAGGAACATAGCTGTCCTTGCGGTGAGTTCTTTGGTGTTGGTAGCTATGGTGGTAGCTATTACCATTGGAAGCCAGGAATCAGAAGCCGAAAATGAGGGTCAAGATAGTATTGTTGCCTCCCGGAAAGCCATTGAAGCCGTGTGCCATCCTACCACCTATAAAGAAACATGTGTCAAAAGTTTATCATCTTCAAATGCAACGCATTCAACGGACCCTAGAGATCTTATCCAAGTAGCATTCAATGTCACGATCAATGACATTCGTGCTTCAATAAAAAACTCAAGCCTATTCCTAAATCTAAAGGATGACCCGAGATCAAAGTTGGCATTGGAGAATTGTGAGGAATTGGCTAATCAGGCGATAGAGGATCTCCGAAGGACTCTCTCAAAGTTTAAAGACTTCGACTTGATGGATTTAGACAATTGGCTGGATGACCTCAAGACTTGGCTAAGTGGTTCCCTCACGTATCAAGAAACGTGCTTGAGCGGCTTCCAAGAAATCCCGGGGAATGAAGAGAAACGTATGAGGGAACTTCTAACCAAATCCATGGAAATGACCAGCAATGCACTCGCTATGGTCACCGAAATCTCTTCCCTTTTCACTGATGCCGAAGCCGGACCTACCAATAGCGAGGCAAGTAAACGCCGTCTTCTCTCATATAATAGAGAAAACCTCCCAGGTTGGATCAACTCAGGAAGGCGAAGGCTTCTCACTGCCAGTCTCGATGAGGTGAAACCAAATCTCATCGTCGCCAAGGATGGATCCGGCAATTACACGAGCATCAATGATGCCTTGAAAAATGTTCCTACCAAAAGTGACCAAACATTTGTTCTCTACATCAAGGAGGGCGTTTATGAAGAGCAAGTTACCATTTATCGCAACATCACTCACCTCACTATGATAGGCGATGGTTCAAACAAAACAAAAATTACAGGATGGTTAAATTTCATCGATGGAATTTCCACCTATCACACTGCAACCGTTGGTGAGTAAATGAGCATGCTATTCACTTCAATCTTCTTGGATTACAAATATGTTTAGAGTAAAACTAATTCCTTACATTTAGATATAAAGACTTTATAGCAACAGTTGAATTATGTAACATACATTGGCATTTTTGAGAATGCAGCTGTTCTTGGAGATTATTTTATGGCGAGGGACATTGGGTTCGAGAACTCTGCCGGGCCGGAAAAGCACCAGGCTGTAGCTCTGAGGGTGGGCGCAGATAAATCCATCTTCTACAACTGCAAGATGGACGGCTACCAAGACACCCTCTATGCCCACACCTACCGCCAGTTCTACCGGAACTGCGAAATCTCCGGCACCATTGATTTCATCTTCGGTGACAGCGCCGCCGTGCTTCAGAACTGCACCATTGTGGTCCGGAAGCCATTGGACAATCAGCAGAACATCGTGACGGCCCAGGGCCGGAAAGACCCGCACCAGCCCACTGGGCTGGTGCTGCAGAACTGCACCATTGTGGCCGACCCGGCTTATTTCCCCGTCCGGTTCACCCTGAAATCGTACCTCGGCCGGCCATGGAAGGAGTACTCCAGAACCGTCATAATGGAATCGTACATCCCCGATTTCATCCAGCCGGAGGGATGGTTGCCGTGGGCGGAGGATTTCGGGCTGGAGACCCTATTCTACACAGAGTTCAATAACAGGGGACCCGGAGCTTCAAAAGAGAACCGGGTCGATTGGGCCGGAATCAAGGAGCTTCCCAAGAGCCAAATCAAACGGTTCACAGCCGGGAAATTCATCACCGGGAATAGCTGGATTCGCGAATCCGGCGTTCCTTACAATCACGGCCTGATTTACACGGCGCCGAAGAAAGACAAATCGGTGAAATACTCGCACGTAGACGATGACGATTTCAAGGATATGGGATCTCACGATAAGGATGATTATGTAGCTCGCCGCCCCACTCAATCTTCTATCAGTCTTCCTCCGTCCTCGGCACCAACTCCGGCGCCTACTCCGGCCCCTGAAGCTGCGGCAAATCTCGATTACGAAACTATTGTAGAAGCGCCATTTCCGATGAATGCTTGGATTTAAGGCCTAACCTCCCACCTCCCGCCGGCTAAAGAAGAAGTGAACAAATTCTTTTAAACCGCTTTTATTCTTATGAAACAGGGACGAGATTCGTCTTCTCCATTTCTAGCAGGCAATTTGTGTACTTGTTAATATTGTTATTTTTTTTACTGTATGTTATATAATTCGTTATTATTCAATTAAATTAGAGTTTTATACTTCTATGGCTATAAAACAACATTATTTAGAATATTGTAGTTTTAGAACATTCCGATGATCTCCCATATAGAGTTTAAGGAAATGCCATTTGTACACAACTATTTTTACATAATATTTACACACCGATCAAACTGTCTATGCACATGCAATTTTTTTCATTTTATGAAGAGACCCACTTTCCGCATCGATAAAAAAATTGTATGTGTCATAGACAAAAACATTGTCGGTGTGAAGAACGATTCTCTTCACAAAAAAAAAAATTGCCTCTGCATAAACAATGTGATAGATTTGTAAAATGTTGTGTACAATTTACTATGTACAAATAGTATTCCTCTAGAGTTTATTAGTTCCCGCCAAACACTTAGTGCTTCGATATCATCATTCCGACACTTTCAAAGAGGAGATAAGAAGGTCGAAACTCTTCTTGATTCACTTGACATTTAACAAATCCCAAAAAAGTTTAGAGAAAATCGCTATTAACCCTCTGAGGTTATGCCATAATTACTAATGCAACCTTGCATTTTCGAAAATCAATTACTTAACCCTTGAGTTTTTATTATTCTCACTGTTTGCCCCCTCTTGTTAATATTTGTTAAATTAAATTCAATATAACTCTTAAATTTAATGAAAGTTGTCTATAAAATTAAATTTTAAAGTAAAATAAAATTTAATATCATAATTATAAGTCATTGTTGTTGATCGTGATATTTTTTTTTACTTATCAACTCGATCATGTAATAAATATTAATGAATGTAGTTAAGAGGGAAGACTCACGAGTACGATATAAAATATCATGATTTTTTTTTAATTTAAAAATAAATACTAGTATCACTTAATCTTATTAAACTAATAAACTTTTTGCGAAGAAAAAAATTATAAAAAATAGTAATAGAATTAATAAAAAAATCAAAATCTATTACTACCTTCGTCCCCCTAAGTTTGGGACAAAAGGATGTGGTGTGTTTTTTAAGAAAAAATAGAATTGTGTGGTTGATATTGAATTGATAAAGTGTGAATAAAGTAAGAATGAATTCTAACCACTCAAACATTACCTAATATGGTATGGGCCGGGACAAACTTAATAGGACGGACGAAAAAGGTAAAATGAGACAAACTTAGGGGACAGAGGGAGTATATACTATCTATATTTTAGGTCTTAGATGGATTGATAGCTTACAATTATATCCACCTTATATTGAACATTTTTTAGGTTCGTTATTAGTACTAAACCAATCTTTTAGGTCATGGATTGATAAAATTCCTTTTTTTCTTGGTATTTCTTCTTTGCTACACACGAAAAAAATGTCATTGAAATAAATTTAGCCAAATGAATTACAATTTACAAACAAGACTCTTATATTCATGATGAAGAGGTGTCAACAATTTTGATCACAATATTTCAAACAACTTTCTTTGATATATCTCATGAAAATTATGCAGCTCGTGAGTCATCTACCTTAACTATTTTCATTAATATTTATTCCACGATTGAGTAGTTAAGTAAAAAATAATGATCAAGAACAATGATATATAATAATGATAGATAAAATTGTATTTTACTTTAAAATTTAATTTTATAGACAATTTCATTGATTTTAAGAGTTATATTAAATTAATTTAACAAATATTAACATGAGGGGGCATATAGTGAGAATGATCAAAGCTAAGAGGTTTACTAATTGATTTTTGAAAATGCAAGGTTCCATTAATAATTATGACCTAACCTCAGGGGTTAATAGTAATTTTCCCAAAAGTTTATTACCCCCAATTCTTAAGAACTTATAATAGTGAATGAAGGTTATACCCTTTTGGGAATAAAAAAAGTGTTCGTGTAATCCTATGCTTAGAACATTTGTACATCATGCTTTCAACTTCGAAAACGAATTTAATACGGCATAACCTTCCGTTACCTGCGCCTTACCCCGTTACTCACCGGCGCTTTACCCCGTACTCCCGTTTGCTCCCTTATCTCTTACGTTTGATGCTCCGAAGTGTTTGCCACCGCCAACCAGCTTAGCCATTGCGGAGGCTGACTAATCGATCCTCGAATTGCTGATTTGGAATCGGACCAACAATAGTGAATCAAAGAAGAAAGGGAATCCCGAATCAGAAGTCTCTCTGCCTCCGCTCTTCGGAGTCCTTTCGTTTTTGCTCCCCGTCTGCTCACACTATCACACCTCCGCTCTTCTCATGCTCACGCTATTTGCAGAACATCCATGAAATTGAACTCCCAAAAACATATTAAAATTGCAAAAATCAGACCAACTCTGAATATTTGGGCGTGTATTTCATTAGGTAATTCTAATCAAGTATTACTCTTTCATTAGTTTAGAGCTGATATTCGTTGATTAGTTATTTAACATCCGTTGATTGTTTATGGCTGATTGTTTATTATTGACTTATTGTTTACTAAAGTGTGTTCTTTTCATGGGATCTTAACTCAAAGTTCAATTCATGATCAAACTCTGCCTCTCTATGTGTTCTTTTTTGTTTTGGCTTGACAAATCAGAAAGTTGTAGAAGAAAGGGAGAAGAATGAAGGGCAAATCGACAAATCAAAGTGTGGGTTTAGTTTTCCAGGTTGAGTTGTGTAGAAAATATTATAGAGCTTATAAATTGGCATTAATAACTAAAACAATTTACAAAATAACTTAGATAAAAGCACTAAGAAGTTTCCCTCGTTCAAAAAGTTTATCACAAAAAAAAAAGATTTCCGGAAATCACTTATTAGTTTGAATTATCATAAAATAGGTATGTTGATAAGAGTATTTGACCATGTTGATCAATAGTCACTTATCTTGATAATAAAGATATTACCCTTGATAGATTATTTAATCTTAGAAAGAAGGGAGAGCTAGAGAGATAAAGTGATATGTATAATGAATTCTAATCAACCATCCAATCATCCCCCCTTTACATGGCTCCCATAGGGAGTATTTATAGGAGAAAAGAGGGTTGGGCTTCCAGGCTTGGGCCTGGTTGGCCCAGTTACAATAAAAGGCCAATAAATGGCTAATAAATGGTATCTAATCTATTCTAATGGATATACATGAATAAAATAGAGTGTACAATGAGATAAATGCTATCTACTGAGCGTATGTGGGCCGCTGTCCGGGCCCAATAGTCGTGAGACCCGGGGGTCCGAGTCTATATACTCTATCAACCCTGTTGTCCCTTTATATCTTTTATTTGAGCATTGGCCAATAAGATTGCTCTCTCACCATGGCAGGTCTTATAAAACTATTCATTTGAAAAGGTAGCAACAAGTCAACAACACCCTACTAGAATAGTTATTTAATGTAATAAGTAGATTGGGCATTATTCTGGCCACACATTAACATATGATATGGCAGATTAGTCAAAACAACTAAGACATGTTTTTATTTGAAGAAGCAGTTCTTTTTAAGTTTTTGTCCAAATTAAATTAAGTTTACCTTGATACTAATACAATAAGAGAAGTACCTCTTTCTTTAAAAAAAATGCAATTATAACATGTTTAAGAAATTGCCCAAATGAAGTCATGCATTGATAAGTGGATAGTTTCATATTGATGGTTGCCATCTGCTACTGTTCCCACCATCCTATTAGGAATGTTGTTCTAACTTACCAATTCAGTTGTGCTTCGGAGAAATCACTTTATAGAAAACAATGAGAGTTTATTGAGAATGCTCTTTATTCTGCTGAATCTATAGCATAACTTCCGTTCATTGGGATAGCAATGTGTTAGCCTTTTTGAAGTTATGCATAAGGATGCTTTCTTTTGGAGTGGTTTGAATCCCAAACTAGACCAGACCAAATCAGACCACACCAGACTTACAGACCAGACCAGATCAAGCTTGGTCAGTTATAAAATACACAGAGACCAGACATTTACTAGATCAATTCAGACCAAACCAGACCAGTAAGCTACATTCCAAAAGAAAACATCCTAACTATTAAGCAAATTTAGCATATACATAAATTTAAATTTTGGGGTTTGATCCTACTTTTCGTTGTTATATAGTGAGGAGGCAGGAAGATAAAAAATTACTTCGTGGACTGACCTGGTTGATCATCAAAGAGTCAGTTGAAAGCGAGACGATGATTGTAACATTGCAGGTTTGAGAGCTTGCAGTATTGGTCTAGGTAAATGGGATCACAAATCAAAATGCACTTCAAATCTTGGACACAACCGGTGAAGATCGTAGTATGCCACCATACCATTTGGCTGCTACTACACCTGAGATAGCATATCCTTTGGATAAGATTATTTCCAAAGGAGAATGGGCTTGCCTCTCAGATATCATTGACCTTTCAGAAGCGGGAGAACCTATCCGTCTCGATTGTTTTCCAAGCTTTGTTTGCAACAGAGTGCATACATTGACAGATATTAAGGTAAATATGCACTTGAATTTTCTTTTTCAGTATATACACGCACAAACATGTCTATATCTCTGTGTGTGTATCTATAGGATGTGATGAGTAAAAAAGGTGTTTCCTTGTGAAAAATGAGAATGAGTGCACTTTTGGTTAAAGGGATTGCTATCACATACATATTCCCGAAGTTTATCATGTGTTTTGGGATGCGGAAACAAGACCAATAAATACAAGTAGTTAGCTACTTGGTAAAGTATATAGAGTACCTTACAAATTCCTAATTATGCCTGTCTTATTAGTATTATTATATACATAAAGCTAAAAACAATAAGCAACAAGTAGTTCATAATGCTTTAAAAATAAGACCCCATCTTATTTTAAAGCATACATAATGCTTGATTAATCATGACTTTATATCCTAAATTTATCATCATTGCGCTCTAGATCTTTATCATCTACAGCTTCCTCCATGTCAAGTTTGTCAACTAACACATCTTACACCAGAATTCGTAGTTCTGGGAAATTTTTAACCTTGAAAACTGTTCTATTGAAGGTTACTATGGAGATAATGTTGGTTTGCATAATTGAGATAAACATTATCATTTGTATACAAATTACAAGCCAAATTGTCTACAAGTAAGTTAATTCAAAAAAGGCTATATGTTATAGAATCGATATGGTTTTCTTAACCTGGCCAATAATTTTTACATGTTTAAGTCAATCTCATCTTTTTTGTTCTCTAAAATTTTACAGGACCATACAAAGAAGCAGGAGCTGGCTGGAATCTTTTCGTACATCACACATCTTGTCAAGAAGCAGGACAAACACTCTCTAGAAGGTTTTCATTTGCAAAGAGTCACAAAATTTTTGGCATGTTGTTCCAAAAAATCTCTTCAATGTTTGGTGTTTCAGAATCGAAGAGACTCCCTCCTCAAAAAATTGATCTCCTCATCAGTTATGTACTTGTTCTTACTCTCTACGTTGACAACTTCCGAACTGATCCGTTGGACATAGCCAAGGATCCGTTGGAAAATATTGGTCTCCTCATCTGTTAAGGCCTCATTTTGAGTTACTGGGTTGCAAATATGTTCGTGACAACAAAGTTCATGCAGTTGTGTGCATCCTAAAACCAACCACGCAGTCGTTTCAGCCCCCTTTTGTTTGACATGTTTAACTGTATGTAAAGAGCAGCTTGTACTCTACATGGGAATATTGTTATTTTTCTAAATATGTTGTGCCAGTCTTTAATCAGAAGAGGCACCAAGTCATATCCATGAACGAAAATCCTTTGAGAACGAAACCATTTTATTAGCTAAATCTGAGGTTTCTTTTGCTATGCAATAATTTAATAATGGTCCTAGGATAATGCCATACATAGTTTCTTTGACTATATTAGTAAATACTAACAATATTTGTTTTCTTATAAACAGCCTATGCTATAGACTTTAGATTATATGTTCTTTGAATAGTTTACTCCCACCCCGATTAAATATTAGAAAAATCTTTTCTATGTAAATGATATTGGGCATTCACCCAATCGCGCATCGCGCGTGAAAAAAACTAGTATTAAATGATATGGAGTACAAGTGACAACGAACATTCGAAGTTTCGAACCGAGCAAGATTAGCTGGTCTAATTTTAGTCTGATTTTTTTTATTTCGAAAGAAAACATCCAATCCTTGATTAATTCCACATCAATTACCCTTAAATGGAAATTACATACTAAAATTAATATCTAAATTCAGTTAAACGGTAGTCGGAGTAATAATCATGATGTACAAATGGTACGTAATTAACAAGAGAGCCTATAGCATTTTAAACGTCTTATTAATTCTCTTCATTCATTTTTTTAATAATGATTTTCTTCATTCAGTGATCACCTATTCGTAAGACCGGCCGAGAACTTAATCCCGGTGGACGGCAACCACGACATGCCGTCGATGAAATGTTGCACGGTGAAATAAGTCGCGGTCGGCGCATTCCTGATGACGTGATAACCGGGCCATTTGACCCGCCCGGCCAACGAGGCGCCCGGCCCATAATTCCTATACTCACCATACCATAAAGTATTCAAAGCAAAATCTCCGTACCACTCCAACCAGCCTCTGGGCTGGACCATTCGGCTCATAAACGTATTGATATACACAGTCCGGGAAAATTGTTTCCAGGGCCGGCCCAAATAAGTGGGCTGGGACGCGTAGATGTAGCTGTCCTGGATTGAGAACCCGGTGCCCTGGTCTGGGCTTTTGCGGCCTTGGGCCGTGATGGTCACCTTCTGTTGTGGTAGCGGTTGCCGGGTGAAAATCCGGCAGTTTTGCAGCACGGCGGCACCATTACCGAAGATGAAGTCGATGGTGCCGTAGATGGAGCATTCCCGGAAAAATTGGCGGAGCGAGTGGGCATAGAGGGTGTCCTGATAGCCTTCCATGCTGCACCGGAAAAATGCCGACTGGTCGGAGTCTACCCGGAGTGCCACCGCTTGGAAGTTCTGAGGGCCGGCGGTGTTCCGGAATGTCATGTCTCTTGCTATGAATCCTTTCCCGGACACAGCTGGAACACCATTATTATGATAACAATAGTTAAGGTGCATGTTTGAATTAGTTCAGACTTCAAAACGTCACACTGATTGTGAGAGTGGTTGTGATTGGTTTTCGAGATGTGTTTTGTTTTAAAGTTTATAAAAAGTTATATATATTGAATAGTAAAATTGGTAATGTTTGGACAATGGTTTTAAATAGTAAAAGTTGGAGTTTTTGGAGTTTTAGTTAAAAAGTTTCTTCAGCTATGTAAATGTAATAGAAACAGTTAAAAAAGAGTTTAAAACATAATATAACTCAATAACGATTACAGGTTTTAGCTTTACACTACCTAACTTTATAAAGAACAAATTGTTTGAAAACACTACCTTTTTATACTAAGTATATATTAAAGCAAAAAGTCGAACAACATATCTTAAGCAACCCTAAAATTGTACCTAAAATTTGTGGAAATATTGCTAAGGAATGCTAACCTAGAGTAAACTTTATTATTTATTTATTTTGTACAACTTTCAACAATAGTGTATTCAACATTAATCACTCTATCGTGTCGGAACAAGATATCATAAATAGATTGAGAGGATAATGTTTTAAAAAATATTTCAAAAAAGAAGTTAAACATGAACAAAATTTCAAGAATATATATGATTAAATGTGTGTTCTGTCCAAAATGTGACTTTTTAGTCTCATCTGAAGAATAAAACAATAAAAACTTCCTAAAGTAAGAGTGGATGCGTCTTATTTTAGAAAGAAATCAATGAACTTCAACTTGAGGAACTATATATGTAAGTTGTACTCATATTTAGAGATTTCTCTCTTATGTACTTGTAATTTTTTTGACAAATCTTAGTTACTTACCAACTGTTGCCGTTCGAAATGTGGTCCAACCTTGCATAAAGTTTCTATTACCCGTTACAACGGTGACTCCAATACCATCGCCCACAAGCATGATGTTAGTTTTCTTCTTCTTCATATCAACATTCTCATGATATATTCCTTTCTTCACATATATCACGTACCTCCTATTACTATAACTCGGAGCAGCAAACACCGCTTGCGCTATCGACCTGTAATGTCCGCTCCCATCCAACGCCACAATTGCGTCCACATGCATACCTATCCCCGGTTTCGAACTCACGACCATTTCCTTATCACCGTCAGTCATCCAGCTCGGGAAATCCGATCTCGAAGTTTCGTTTATTGGGGGCTTGAAAGGCAACTCACGCAACTGTACGTACAACTTTAGCACGTTGTTGATTAGTTGCGTGACTTGCGTCAAGCTCCCCTTGATAAAGCTCACTAGGCGTTTGTCGGTTCCCTCAAATCCCTCCAAGCAAGTGTCTTGATTGCTTAGAGCAGCACTCAACCATGCTTTGAGGTTCCCCTCAGAACTCGGGTTTGTGGTAGGATGCGTGGTTCGCATTTCTCTCATTTCCTTCATCGACCAAGCCAGCTCCGTGACCGAGAAGTCGAGAAGCTCTTGGCAATCTCTAATGGCTATTTGCTCTCTCGGGGAGACGGACAACGTGGTGAATTTTGACAGCGCATCCATGGCCAGCCTAACCTCATTAAGAGAGTTATGCATGGCTGCTTTGAGGATCGATGTAGTGTCGTGGTAACGGTCATTTTCTAATTTTGAGCGTATATTTTCGAGACATGATCCTCGATTTTCGACATTGTCGCAAGCCCGAGTAATCATGTCCTCGAGCGTTTGGGATCGGTGTAAGGGGATAACCACCGCATCGATCGAGGACAAGACTAAAGGGAAAGAAGGTAAAAGAATGAAAGCAAAAACAAGAGGAAGGAAGGAACGTGGAAATGCCATTGATGGGATGAATTTGGTTTAGGGGAACGAAAATGGGAAGTAATTGGAGGGGTTGGGATAATCTATATTGCAATTTGCAAAGAAGAACTTTTAGAGCCTCAAAATAGCAAGAATAGGAAGTGTCATTTGTTACGCAAAAAACTGAGACATATTTGTTTCTTTGCTGATTTCAAGCATATTTCTAGGGGACATGCATTTAGAGATCGAATAAAACTTATAGTTCATCTTTTCATCAAAGTTGAAGTTATGCTTTCTTGTGCTGCATGACATGGTATAGACAAAACCTTGTTTCTGTTCCTGTCTTAACAAGCAAGAAGCAAATCGTTTAAAGATTTCATTTTTTATTTGTTGAACACCAAATAGACGTCCTACCCGTTTTTATATACGAAGTATAAGAAATGGGTGTCAATAGAACTACTTTAGACTGTTAGAGCTTGCTTGGTGATCCTGTTTTTTGGACATTCACCAAACACGTAACTTTTGATTTCGCACGCTGCATTGTGTAATAATAAGAAAAAGAAAGGTTGAAGTTACTTTTATGACTGTATTGACTGAAACTACTATAGAGGACCAATATAACTATTTTTTCATGCAGCTTTTTTATTAATAAAATAAACTTTAAATATAATATTTTCATAAATAAGCAGAATCAGTCGATTCAGTCGATTTTGATGCTACCAAACGGGCACTTAGTATACAATAATTGCTCATTATTTCAAATAATTACTCAGTTTAGGGTTGTCTTCGTTGTCATTACTATATTTTTCATGTTTTGGATAGCTTTATGATCCTTTTATATTATCCGTTTCACATATTTTTATAAAATTTAATATTACAACACAAGACAATGATGATGGGCCATATTACGACATTGTAATTGTAATTTGTAACAATTAAATAGTGCTTTGATAATGATCACTAAAAAGTAGATTAGAAGCATTGAATATCCTTGCATACTCGATCTTGTGTACTTGCAAACATATAAGGGGGCTGGAAAACAAAAGCATGACATATTTATGAGTTATGAGGCATCTAAGAAAAGGTAGGGATAACAACAAGACAATCTCCTTGTGACTCAAGCTTGGTTTGAAATGATGATCAACTTCCAAGCAATCTGTCGTTATTCCATTTACCGACATACATTAAAGAGATCATACTCCTTTAATTACCTGAATTCTGATCCTGAAATGTACAACCTTATAAATACATCATTTACTAATTGAAAAAAGCACTTGAACCATTTTTTACATGTTAATACCAGTAATATTTGACTAGTAATTAATCAAAACACTGCTTAATTATACTAGTAATATATGACTAGTAATATTTGACTTAGGATATTTTTACTTGAACTGAAATTTTTCTAGTCTGATTTAGTCTGGTTGATGTATGATATTTGTGTAATTTACAACTGATGAAGTCTGGTCTAGCCCAATACTGAAATAAGTCCAAATGAAAACATTCTTAATCTCATGTTAAATTCTTAATTAACTTTTCATTATAGTAATTTGTCATGTACATGGCTGTCTCTAGCCGTTTGTGAGATACAAATGGGAAAATGGCACCCGGCCCATTAAAGACTGAAAAAGACATATTACCAAGTTGCATTATAAATATAAATAACTTCATTAATGTCACAATTGATTTGATACATAAGGTCTTAGTGAGAACTTTTAACAACATATCTATATATTAACTTCACCGACATAGGATCCAATTTTTACATATGCCCGTATAAAATAAGAAAATAACAACATATCTATATATTAACTTTACCGACATAGGATCTAATTTTTACATATGCCCGTATAAAATAAGAAAAACGGGGACTTTGTCAAAGGTTGGGCTCCATTCGTGTTTAGGATGTTTTTAATGGACTCAAATTTTATGGTCTGATCTATCCTGGTTTGATTTGCTAAGTGTCTGATATCTGTATATTATATGATTGTTCAAAT